CCGGACGCCGGCTCAGGACGGCTCGGGTCGCTTTGGGGCCGCCTCCGTCGCCGCTGCGAGGCGCGTGATACGGCCTGGATCCCACCCGCCGGACGCTGGCTCAGGACGGCTCGGGTCATTTTGGGGCCGTCTCCGTCGCCGCTGCGAGGCGCGTGACACGGCCTGGACCTCACCCACCGGACGCCGGCTCAGGATAGCTCTGGTCGCCGAGTGTGGCTGTGGGACCGCCTCCGTCGCCGCTGCGAGGTGCGTGATACGGCCCGGACCCCACCCGCCGGACGCCGGCTCAGGACGGCTCGGGTCATTTTGGGGCCGCCTCCGTCGCCGCTGCGAGGCGCGTGACACGGCCTGGACCTCACCCACCGGACGCCGGCTCAGGTCGCGGCCCGGGGGCTGTTACTAGGATCGGCGCGCGACGGGGTCACTGCTTGGTGTTTCTCTGCGCGGCCGCGACCCTCCGGACAATGTCTGCGGAAGCCGGTGCCACGTGCGGTGAGGCGGTCCGAAAATAATGCTTGGCATCCACCCGCCTGGAGCTTGTTTTCCTCGGCAGCAAACCAATCATGTGGCAGAATCTCGTGAGCCTCGCAAGTTCTGCAAGTCAAATTTGTGCTCGCTTGACTGCTGGAGGCTGGGGCTGGGATGCTCTCCTGAAAAATGTGTTGCGAGAAGTTGTTCTTGAGGTCTGCGCCACCAACGACAGGGGCATACCAGTTGTTGTGAGCACGACATGGGTCAGCTAGACTTCGTCGTAATCTCTGCGAAGGCTTGCCGACTAGAGACCGCAATGTTATTAAGCACGCTTCGGGCGGCGTAGTGCGTTTATTACCTTCCATTTATGGCGTACCGAGCGTCGCAGTTGATGGATTTAGCTGGAAACGCTGGCATTGGACTGTAGCGCTGCAAATATAAAGCCTCATGCAAGGCTTATCACAGTTGACGCGTAGGCATTTCTGCAGCGTGCGTTTGCTGCGGCTACTTGCCGCATATGTGTGCATGCTGAACATGTTGCTGTGGACGCCTTTTCCGTCGTGTAGTGCCGCCAAATGCCATGGACATTTGTTGCATTTTTTTATCTTGACGGGCCGTAGCGAATGGGCTGATAATTCCTCGTTGAATACAACCTTTCTGTGCATATTTAATTATACAGCGCTTGATTAATTAATTTATATGAAGGCGTGACGTCAGGTTCTACACCAGGCAGCATTAAGCAAACTTATTAATTCATTTCTCGATTGCGTATAAGCCAGTATGCCCGATCTGTTTTCATCGCAGATTCCTTTGCTTTTGCTTCGGAAGCCAAAGGCTTTTGAGAATGCTTTGGAATGAACATGGCAACTTACTGTAATGCCCCAATGGACAAGCTCTGGTGCATGTAGCCGATTGCGTTTTACACTCGTAATGCCGACGGTATATCGGGCAAAGTATATTGCGTTTCAGGTTGCAAGCCCCATCAGCCCCAACAGTTCGCTCCGTATCCAATATAGTCACCGAAGAGAAGCGGAATGGGCTGAGTGATGACAGCTGTCCGAACGGGCAGAAGTTGAAGCTCGTTGTTCCGTCGGCCGGGCCGGAGATGAACCTCCTGCATAACGAATACGCTTCGCTGACGTCGGCCAGCTGAAAGAATTAGCGGTCCGCACCGGCCAAACGCAACTTTCACGGACAGCCAACGGCCGCGATCAGACGGGCATCGAAATTCGGTGTGATAAGGCTCTCGCTGGTGGCGATTAGACTCGTCTAGCGCCGTAGCCAGTCACGCGTGGAGTCATAGTCGCCATAACCAAAATGTCAAAGAGTTGCTATCGTCGCCACTTGTGTGGTTATTTGTGGATAAAAATATGTGGCATCTCCCCGCAAGTTAATGCGGTGTCTTTCCTTTTTGCGACTGGAAGCTATTCTCTCAGCAATAACTGCGGAATTACACCACTTGGGCGCACAGCGCTGCGGCGCTGTGTGCTGGATCTCTTAAGTGAGTGCGTGCCGGCATCTTTGCACTGGCTGAGGTTGAAAAGGTGCTGACTGCAATTCATAGTTCTTCTCGCGCAAGGAATAATTAAGCTCTAAAACTCTGCCGGTAGGCTCGCTCCTCTTTTCTCCTCATCACAGATCAATCATGTTAGCTCTCACGGTCCAAATTGTTAAGCACATTACAGAAATTGTCTGCTTAAAGGAAGTATTCCATATTCCTATTGGGTTTTGAACTTGAACAGCCATCTTGAAGACCTTTCGGTGCTGTTCACAAGGGCAGGGTCCCTTAGGACCTTAACGTCGCTAGTTTATGAGCTACACGCCTGCGAAAGCGGGGGAGAATATTTCGGGGAGAGTATTCAAAGTCATCTTGGCATTCATGGCGCATAATAGTGCCATCCGGACCTGCCACGTCATAAGCATGCAGCAATCAACGCCAATAAAAATATAATTGTCGTGACGATCATATCTGGTGTTCGTGAGCACATTTTCCAGATATTGAGGCCGTCAAATGGCTCCCAACCAATGTTGTGCAAAGTACGATATGTAATCAAAACAATGACGCATTAACACGCGCCCGGGTGGCGGGCTGGATACCCTTCGCTCGGGTAGTGTGCGGGTCAATTTGACCCCCCTGATGTCTCGGGAACTAAGAAAGCTAGAGATACCAAATTTGCAGGGTGTGTTGATCTGTGCGTGCACCCACTTAGGTCATAGTTTCAAGTTCCCAATAAACAACAAGTTCCTAGGTCATGACCTTCGGGTTAGATAAGGTCAAACAAGGTCAAATTCCAGGCTGGTCTCTAAAGTGCCCCACATCCTAGATAACCATTTTTAAGCAAAAGGTGACATGCTCATCTAAGGTCAGTTACTTTGTTTAACCTTTTGAAGGTCATGGTGACCAAAGGCATAACAGATTGCCCTGAGTTTTGCATTTGAATAAGCGACAAAGATTTTGTTAGGCGGTATGTTCCTAAAAGCAAAGTGTTGACCTGGATCATTTTAGGTCAGTGACCTATTCTAGCCTCCAAGAAGTCCTTGGAAGATGTATTCAGCGGTTCCTGATATCATTAAATACGAAATGAGCACCAGAAACTATTCCATACAGCAAGCCCTAGAGTAATAAAACAGGTTTATTTTGACCTTAGTCTGACCTTCATACCTGACGTTAGGTCAATGTGATTTGTTCATTCATCTGCTGTGTTTCCTAAGAAAGCATCTCAGAGATGTATGGCTTCGTTTAACACTCCGTTGTTCAGATTGTCACTCCGTCAGATTGAACGATTCCCCAGAAATTGATTTCACTGTAACCATCGCCTGACTTTAACCTGCCATAGGTCAGCGATCTTGCAAGGTACATCTAAATTTTTGATACCAAGCGATCCACTATTCAATTGCCTACAGCCATGCAAATTGTGGCGCGGCTACGCCGCGCCGTTCGGAAACCATTTTGGAAAAACCCTCGGGGGTCAATTTGACCCCCACTAGAGTGCGTGTGTACTAAACAGGGAGCATGTGTACTAAACCGGGAAGTTGTGTCGTCTAGAGCAGCCTTTTCCACTGAGAAGTACACCGATAGTTATGAGTGAGCTTATGTCATCATGTCTGATGCTGGCTTCAGTATCTTCAAATATGAAACATTCCCTTTGACAGCGTTGTTTTCACGCTTTTCACCGATCGAGCTCTCACGGCAACGGAGCCAGCAAGTTGGTCTATTTCGAGTTATGTGGACGACGTGTTTAACGTGTTATGGACGTGGTGAAGGTTTGACGGTTTGTCACTGATGTAAGCTGTTCTAATGTATCCTGATATAGCCTAATAGTTAAGTGTTGGAAATAAAGTATATTTATTAAAGTAATAATGGTAAATGTAATGTGTCATAAGGAGATATTCGGACCCAGTAATCTCAGTGGTGTCACTGACTTGATGACATGTGGTATTAGGCTAAATAAATCGGCCCAGCTCGTGACAACTTGATGCCGAATTTGGCTCTGGCAAGTTTCAATTCATCCAGTTGTCTTCGCTCTCCTGAGTCAGATTTTTTGTTGGAAGAATGTCGAGTATTGTGGGTTGAAAGTCACTCAAGTCCTTTTCTGTCGTCGACTGACAATGGTTAACTGGCAGGGAAAGCTCGGTGGAAGCGCCCTCGTGCTTTTACCCACCATCAATGCACACATCAGGGGCGTGTGTGAAGGTGGCGTCGCATCACCTGCAAGAACTTTTAGTAAGCATACACGACACTAAACGATTTAAGGTCGTTGTACCGGGGCTTTATTTAAAAGGGCTCTTTATGAGGAGAATCGAGCCGGTCCTGCGTTCTGCTTGTTTGTACCCAACTTCCCCGCAGGTTGTGGTTGCGTTTCTCCCCGCAGACGGTGCGGGCCGCGTCTCCTGCGTGTTCGCCCACCGGTGGCGAGACGCCTGTCCGTCCGCTAGCTGCGGCAGTGGTCGTGACCCGCCCACCGGCCCTCAGGTGGTGGCAGTGTTCGTGACCCGCCCACCGGCCCTCCGGTGGCGGCAGTGGTCGTGACCCGCCCACCGGCCCTCCGGTGGTGGCAGTGGTCGTGACCCGCCCACCGGCCCTCAGGTGGCGACAGCAGTCGTGGCCCGCCCACCGGCCCTCCGGCCCTCCGGTGGCGGCAGTGGTCATGACCCGCCCACCGGCCCTCCGGTGGCGGCAGTGGTCGTGACCCGCCCACCGGCCCTCAGGTGGCGACAGCAGTCGTGGCCCGCCCACCGGCCCTCCGGCCCTCCGGTGGCGGCAGTGGTCATGACCCGCCCACCGGCCCTCCGGTGGCGGCAGTGGTCATGACCCGCCCGCCGGCCCTCCGGTGGCGGCAGTGGTCGTGACCCGCCCACCGGCCCTCAGGTGGCGACAACAGTCGTGGCCCGCCCACCGGCCCTCCGGCCCTCCGGTGGCGGCAGTGGTCATGACCCGCCCACCGGCCCTCCGGTGGCGGCAGTGGTCGTAACCCGCCCACCGGCCCTCCGGTGGTGGTAATGGTCGTGACCCGCCCACTGGTCCTCAGGTGGCGTACGGGCTGACGGAGACCAGCCCACTGTTAACGGTCGGCTTCCCCTCCGATGACGTGGAGCACCGCTGCGGCACCGTCGGCTACCCGCTGGACCACTGCGAGCTCAAGGTGGTGGACGAGAGCGGCCAGATCGCGCCGCCCAACACGCCCGGCGAGCTGTGCGCGCGCAGCTACAGCACATTCCTCGGCTACTGGGACGACGCGGAGAAGACGCGTGCCAGCCTCACTCCGCAGCGTTGGTTCCTTACCGGGTGAGTGGCCCGTCTGGCCCCGGGCGCTGGGCGCCGCCCGCCGCCCGCCGCACGCCACCCGTGGTCCGTCGCACGCCGCCGGGTAGCGGTGGCGAAGTGGCGCGATCTCCGTGTGTCGCGGCCCGCGCCCGGCGGAGCTGACGCCGGGGTCCTTGTGCTCGGCTTGCGCATGGCCAGCTTGTTATGTGACATGTGTGCTTTGTATTCTGATGATCGACGGTATCAGTGTGGGGTGGGAAGCTGTCCGTCGTGCATGGCGCTCGTGCGTATCCGGCGCTCCGCTGGCACCTGGCGGCGCCGTTTTTGTACACAGTGCCAGAGCGAACTGACGTCCCAGACGGGGATGCGCCCCTCGTGCGGTGCAGTATGCTGGCCGGTGCGGGACTGGCGAGTTTCCTGCGCTCACCTGATACCCGCTTAGTGTGGTGTGGGCTGACACCCGCTGCGCTCTGTCGACGGCTCTCCCGTTCTGTTGCTGATGCGCGGCAGGCGCTAGCCCGAGATGTCCCCCGAGCTCCTTAATGCGGGGTGGGGTGGCACCTCCCGCGCTCTGTCGACGGCTCTCCTGTTCTCTGCGGACACGCGGCCAATGCGAGCCAGTGATGTCCGCTGAGCTCCTAAATCACTGAAACCCAGTCCGCTTCGTTTCTCCGTTGCCACGACAGCGGCCGGCGGCGAACGCGACCGAAGAAATACGATCTTGCCCCGGTGCCGTTGCCGTCCTGATCTGGTACAATGAAATTGGAGCCGGCCGGTGTTTTGCGGCCGGAGCGCGGCTGTTGCCGCCTGGAGTCCGGCTCGGCCGACGGCCGCGGATGTGTGTCCAGACTGATGAATGGCGGCGGCGAGCCGCGACGGCCGCGAAGCCAGCCGTATCCACGGGCGCACGTCAGATGGGGTGGCGCCCACTGAGGCTGGGCGAAACGGTATGGCAGGATAGCGAACAGTGATGCAGCTTCACAGAAGTCGGCACGGAAACGCACACGTGCCAATGCAATCTGTATGTCGATGCTTGATGGTCTCCTGACCAGAAATCGCATTGAAACTTTCGCTACTAATACTGGAAATTTGTATTGCGCAATGATATCGGAGTGCGGTCCTTATTTTTGAAAGGCGCTTGTTTATTGTTTATCAACACATTTCAGCACAATGCAATCTTCGTTTCGTAAAAGTACCAAAAAGACTCTTGCAACGGAATACCACTTGCATCGCTTTAGAAAAAATCGATCATCTTCTGTTGATATTTTGAGGGTAACGACTGTATCTGATGCATACCCCATCGGGTGCATTCTTCGTTTCATCTCAGTATTTTTTAATCAGCAGGCAGGTTGTGTACTCTGGGGATATAAATATTTGGTAGTGTTGATCGGATACTAAACTAGCCCTGAGATTTTTGATGACATAGTCTGGTGAGCAACGGGCTACTATCTTTGACGACTTCTGGCCTCGCATTGACGTCCTGTGCGATGTCTTCTGATGTTAACTTTAGGGTGTTACGACATTCCGAAGCCCCGCCCCGAACCCCCGCTATTCAGCGCTGCGAGTAGCTATATTTGACACGGCTGGTGAGGTCGTAACGCGTTTACGTCCTCAACACCGCTGAACGGCCGCTATTGGTGGCGCTGTATGCCGGAGCGGCCACCCCGCCACCACGGCCGTGCGCCGCCCCGCCGCCCGACAGGCAGGTGGACCTCGGAACGGCCACCCCGCCACCGCGGCCGTGCGCCGCCTCGCCGCCCGGCAGGCAGGTGGACCTCGGAGTGACCACCCCGCCACCGCGGCCGCACCCGGCCGCATGCCGTCCCGACGCCCGGCAGGCAGGTGGGCCTCGGGGCGGCCACACCTCCACCGCGGCCGTGCGCCGCCCCGCCTCCCGGCAGGCAGGTGGACCTCGAGGTGGCCGCCCCGCCACCGCCACCGCGCCGCCCCGTCGCCCGGCAGGCAGGTGGACCTCGGAGCGGCCGGCACCGCGCCGCGCCGCGCCGCGCCCGGCGCCTCCGGCTCGGAGAAATCGTTACCGATCAGTGCCGGCGGGGTCTGTGTCGCGGCTCGCCAGTCGCCGCCGACGTGACAGCTCCACTGAGTGAGCGGCCGCTCGGCCTGCGCCGTCGTCGTCGTCGTCGTCGGCGGCGGCGGCGGCGGCGACGGCGGCGGTCGGCCATCGGTTGGACCGCGGCCGGCGGTGGCTCCCCGCCGCCGGTGAATTCCTTGCGCGTTGCCGCCGCGTGCTGACGCGGTTTACCTGGAGCTCTGCGGGGCGCTCTGATGAGTTCCGGGCGCTGCCGAATCCCATCGTTTGAGGTGCCGGCTGGTTTGAGCGTGTGCAGCTGGCGCACCATTTGAGTGCTTTGTGGGGGACGCGAAGTTTGGATTGGGATGCTTCAGCGAACTGGATGGACGAATAGACTTATGTCGCTAGCTGTCGTGACTTTCCTTTGGGGCTGTTATCTGTCAAGGATTGGTCTCGGATTGTCTCAGTTACTTCTCTTTTTGGGTCTTGATTCGCATCTCGGTCATACGCCACGGCATGTCTCATATTATGCCAGTTATTTACCTTTTTGTATCTTGATTCACGTGTATTCTGGATTGGCGAAGTAATGTCATAGTATACATGCAATGTATCAGTGCACTATAGCACACCGCAAAGTGACATATGGGCCTTCAATAAAAAGCCATATCTTCAGAGTTACGTTGCATCCTGAAAATATCACAAACTGAATCGGAAAATGGAGAAAAAATGTCACTACCTGAGATCAAAAGGCAAGGAGTTCAACAACGAGTTAAGTCATTTCACCCGGAACGTTGCTGAGCACTTATATTGAAACATTGGAGCAGTGCCGTCAAGCTTCCTGCCGCCAATCATCCCGGCATTGGTGCAATAATGAATCGGGTTGTCAGAATTGTAAATGAGAAATCGGAAATCAACCTTTGGATGTTTTTCTTTAGTGGTCTTTAAACTATTAGGAAAGGAACACTGCTAACCACCGAAAATCTGAGCAGCTCCGTCAATCCATGAACCTCCAATACGTTTCGTTCAGTACTAGCGCTAGTGCCTCTAGGTGTTTATGTTACAGACTCCTGTGCTTTCATCGCTTAAGCGCTGGTATTGTGCGCGCTTCAAAGCGATCACGGCGCGCCGATACTCACGCTGAATCGATGTGATCGAGTCGCCCGAGTACAAAATTGCGCTTAAAGCTGCATCCCTCAGGACGGGAGTAGTGGACTAGTGACCTTGATTTGGGGCGTAGTCGCGTGACTGCTCCAGCGAATCGTTGGCGTGGTTCGATAATGCTGGTGTGTAGTCGTCTTGATATCGATGTCAGTCCTAAACAGCACTCCCTCCCTCCCCCCTCCCCCCCCCCGTTCGTTACTTGGACGTGGCCGTCAAGGTGTAACGGCGCGGTTGGAAGGTGCCATTTGCTGCGATCGATGCCGGCCGAGCTATCTAATTTTATGAGCGGCTCGGCCAAGATCAGCAAGCAATTCCGAACTCGTCATTTGCTAGGATTTCTCTGGACGCGCGTGATAGAAGCGTCTTGCGGGTTAGGCTGTCGCTGTCCAGGTTGTTTGGTTCGAATTATTTGGACGTCTGTGTCACTCAGAATACGCCAGCGCCGATTCCTGCCAGGTGGAGTCTGATGACTCCCTGTAAATCATGCATCAGCACAGCTTATGTCTCATGTGGTGATTCCTTTCTTCATCGTTGATGACATTTGTGTGGTCGCGTTCACTTAAAAAAGTATTGAGTAATGCAAGTGATCCAATATCATTACTACGTTGACGGGAGGGAACTGTGCATCGCGGCGTTTGCATCACAAACTTTGCTTTCCTTCAACCCTTATAAACGTGAACTCTGGTTCACATTTCTGGCTGTGGATCAAAATCCGTGCGACTCATTCCCCTGGCGGATGTGGCGTGAATTTGTGGAACATGCAGCTGCTCTGCAGAGCACGGTGAGCACGTGAAACATCTGGGTAGGCATATTGGGCGGAGCCTTTTTTGGCCACAGGCTCGTCATGGTCCCTGCAAGAGGCCATCATGGCGCAGGCTTATCGTTATTGGAGACGAACTTGGACCGGCGTCGTGAATTAGCTTGAGCCGATTACTCGGGCCGAATTCTGACTCAGAATAGCGCCAACGACCCGAGCACTGTGATGCAAATGTCACATTTCATCAGAAGATTGCAACATACTGAGCGAGCAAATGCCAACGGATGGCATGATTCGGATCAGGATTTTGCACGTTGCTCTGCCTGCTGCCCTGGTTGCGTTGGTAATTTCTCTCCACATCCATCGCCGGGAGCATACGTTGTACGTTTATTGAACAGTACATTCGCATAGAAGTTGTGATACTTGTCGGGCTGGGATTGGTTGGACACAGTTTCGCCTCGGTCAGTCCGCGCAGTTACCGTTGCGGTGCGATGCCGTGGGCCACAGCAGCCTGCAAGATCACGGGCTCGAAGTGCCCTCCCTGTGGGCCCGGACGTAGCGCGTGTGCAGTTCGGTCGGACCGACCGTTTGCGGCGTACACATGACATTCTGCAGCGCTGGAAAGGATGCCACTGGAACGTTATGCGACGGTGCTGCGAGCTTATCACGTACATAATCGACGTACATAATCGATAGCTGCATCGCTTCAAATCGATCTGGTCGTCGCACAACCTTCCAACACAGCAGTAATGGCAGCCGAGGCTTCAACAGCAGCATCATTGCCGGCTATGTTACCGATGCAGTGATAGAGCCAGCACAACGCGACAATCATTGGACGTTAGCAGCGTCAGCGGGGGCGGCAGGGGTACTGGTGCCACCGATGCCGACGGAACCAGTGGAATCAACACCAGCGGTAGCCAGCGAATAGAAAGAACGCCATGGCCAGAGCTAGCAGGAACAGAAAGAGCGCAGTTGCAACATGCGCATTATACATTTTCTGAAGCATTCTCAGCGTGCCCCCAATCCATTTTGCCGGGCGCCAGCCAGTTATTGAGTGGGGCTCTAGTCCGG